ACTTTCCCGACCCTCCATCTCCTCTTCCTTGCCCACTTCCATACAAGACAGGCAAAACCACGCTGCAAAGTGCTTCATGCCCGTCCCCCTCCAACTCACAGGGAGTTAGAAGCCTCTAGGTCACTAAAGTCACAAGCAGGAGCACACAAGCGACCTGAAATTATTGTTATTTTTATTAACAACATGGGTTTAGATCACTTTGGCTGCAAGAGTGACAGGTCCTGTAGCCTCGTGGCTTCCCTACCACAACTGAATGGGTCATTCTTCCACCTCGACCACTGCAACTTCTACTGCCACCGTTTTGCCTTCACCTCCATTTGTCCGTTTTGTGGATCCCCGAGAGGTGTTTATGGAAACTTGCAGCTCCCTAAGAATTTCAGCAGGCAGAACTCGTAGCAGGGGGTGTTAGCCACACTGCAGCAAAACAGCTTGCATGTGCAGAGCAATTGCTGACTGTGCAGGAAGGTCCTTAAAAAAAAAGAAACAAGGGAAAAGAAAAAGACAGGAATACAACTAAGTGACATAGTTCATGACAGATAAAGGTGACAAAGCAGTGAAGAAAACTGCAAGTCTCCCTTAGCCTGTGATGGGGTGAACAGGCCTTTGTTCTGTCCCATGTAATCCCTAGCCTGTGTCCATAGGAATATTGTCCTGGTATTTTCGTAGSCAGCAGGGCCATAAATGAGGCACGTGGCAGAATGATGCAACGCAGATGGCCTGGTCACCACGATGGGACTTCCAGCTCCCTGCAGGAACCTTTGAGAGACGTAGCTGGATTAACCCACACCTTCTAGCACCCTGTATCTGGATGCGCCTCTCACACCACTCCTGTACCTGGATGGAGAYTGAAGATGGGAGTAACCGCGGTCAGCCAGAGGGGATCCCAAAAGAGCAGAAACACTTCGCCAGTCCCGCGGAGATCTGATGACTCCACTTCAAGCATTGCTCCCTTTTTGCACCAGCCGAACCAGGATTCCTTCTGCCTGGAGGAGGCTGCAAGCACAAGTCAGCACGGTGGCCTATCCATGGGGAAGCTGTTGCTGGACACGTGCAACAAGCAGCAGCGAAGCCCCGTGCCGGTGGGATTCCCAGAATGCTGCCACTCACATTTTACAGGAGCCTCGGAACTTATGTATATTTTGGTGGCAGACTTTGAACCTTTTTCAATTTGGGGTGCAAGGGTGAGCTCACATCACTGTAGACAAGTGGGCAACTTCCTACAGTCCAGATGCTTCCACCCTCTCTTCTAACCTTCTCTTCTTCCTCCTTCTCCTTCCTCTACCTTCTTCCACCTTCTCTTTTAACAGAAGGCAGGCAGGAGGAATGGCATTCCTCCATCCTTAACTATTATTTTCCTGAGAATTTTGCAAGTAGAGCTTAAGATCGCCCTTCTACTAAGGCACAAATACACCACTTGCTTCTCCAGGGAATACTCTTTCTACCTGGTTTTGCCTTTACCTTTCCGCTCCATCCTTGTTTGGCTTGACAGCTAAACTCCAAGCAGGTCTCACGCTGCAGTATCTGTTCCAGGGATGGTTCCCTTTTCCTTTTATCTGAGTGGATGGAAGTGTCCCACGTGGATCTCTACGGCGAGAGAGGAAGGAGCTCCACATCATCACAAGAGCTGCCACAGGCTGCAGTGCAGCAGCACTCACACCTGATGGGACTGGGCCTGCACGGAACACCCTGCAACACCCTTCACACCTCCTGGCTTACCCGAGAATCCTTCCCTTCCTCAGCCACCAAAACCATCAGTTGGATTCAACAGGAAAAAAGGCAGCTCAAAGGGAAAACAACGCGGTGGCTGCTCCTCAATCTCACAAACAGGCAGTATGAGGACGGGGCATTTTGTGGCATCCTGGCCRAAGAGCGCTTGCGAGGAGGCAGTTYTCTGCAATGACGCTGGCTCCACGTTCAGACAGCTGCTGGGCTGCAYGTTTTGTCAAGTCACAGGATCCCAGGATGGCTGAGGTTGRAAGGGACCCCCAGGGATCATCCAGTCTCAGCCCCTGCTCCAGCAGGGACACCCAGAGCASGGGGCACCCGGGCGCATCCCGGCGCGCTGGCAGATCTGCAGAGCAGGAGCCTCCGCAGCCTCCCTGGGCAGCCSGGTCCAGGCTTCCCAGTCACACTGGGGGACTTCCCAGGAAAACAAACAGCACCTTCCCTCATCCCAGGCGCTGCCGACGGGGCTCCCTGCACACAGGGCGCTCAAGGCTGCTGCTTGGCAGCCCGTGTCCMGCCCCGGGACTTCTCATCCCGACGTGCACCGGCCACGACAGCGCTGGGACGGCCCGCGGGGTGCAGCGCTCCAGTGCTCCACACAGGGGCACGGGACATTTCGCTGCTCCCGGGACCCCGTCCTGCTTCAGGAGGTCCTGCTCAGCATCAGCAAGAGACCTGGCAGCAACTTGAGCCCCTCAGTGACCAGAAGGAAAGTACAGGACTCGTCTGCTTCACAAGCCTGGCCGCCGCACCCCGGAGCACAGGCCACGAGCACCCACAGAACCAGCTCGCACAGGACAACGTCACCCTCTGCACCCCTTGCTACTACATCCTCCGCACCTCCTCCAGCAGCTCAGCCCCACCGGGCTCCTTCTGCAGCCTGGAGGCCCCAGCGCCCTTTCTGGGAGCACAACTACCCCAAACCTGAGCAGCCCTTTGCAGCAGCTTCTCTCCTTACCTTCCTGAAGCTTTAAGCACACMCAGCCACTGGCCCAAGGAGAGCCCCAAGCTCAGAGCCATCTGCAGCTGCACAGTTGCTGAATAAGCCAGGAAATGAGAGAGAAAAAAAAAAAGTTGTTTATCAACAGTAACTTCCTCCCAGAAGGCGCTACCCTCGCCAGGCACCCTTGCCTTGTGTCACACCATAACCCTGCTCCAACTGATAGTCCTAGACAAGGAAGAACAAGAAYAGATTGAGTCCTTCGGAATACTATCAGTACACCTCCCACCCACTGGGGGGTTCTGCTTTTTTTTCTTTAAAAAATAAATAAATAAAGCAATACTTCTGATCATTAACACTCAGTTTGAGGCTGACCCTGCAGTTTCACATCAGCTGAAGCCAAGGTGACGCTACCTTGGCCGTCCTGCTCCCCACCACCACCTCCGGCCCTGGTGAAGGCCACATTCCGGATGGCCAGTTATAACTAAACTTAAGGAGTTTGGGGTTAAGTCCTTACGCCAAAGCAGAGCCACGGTAACAAGAGTTTTCTGCACGAATTTCTGGATGTGACTGACACAGCAAAGAGGCAAAAACACCCGTCTGGATGCCCTGAAGCTGCCGCTCAGCAACGTCCCAATGCAGCAGGATGGGAGAGCTCCCTTTGGGACTCACCAGCAGCAAAACGGGCGGCTCCCAAACCCCCTCACCCTCCAGCTGCCACCACCACATGGGACGATTTTGACTTCACAGCACACAGGGCTAAACTAGCAAGGATGAGCTCCACAAAAACATGCAGAATGCAACAGAATGCTCCCATAAACTGGAAGATTTTCCAAGTCCGAGGTAAGTTTTACGTTGCTTTTCCTGAGGAGGACAGACTGCCTGAGAGCTGCCACGTTTCTCAGCRTGCTGCTACAACAGAGGCTACAAACTTCAAACCCTGGCAGCAAAAAACCCATACCAGTATGCAAGCTAGGACAAGACCCAAAAGACATTWTTTCCCCCCAAAAAAAAACCAGGAGGGAACTTTCTGAGGAGAGAAAGCAGAACTGCAGTTTGACGGGAACATTTTAACACTCCCCTCAAGATGCAGAGCGCAGCATTTGCCCAAAGAGAAGTTTGGGCAAGGGTTTCGCCACCCTTTTGGCCACCCTTGCCGTGAAGCCGGGCACACCACCTAGGACAGCACACATATAACCTCCGCTTCTGATGCTTTTCAGGGCAGCTTTCTAAATACGCTCTTTAGCGCTGAAACAGATTTAAAACCAGATCAGTGGATGGAAATGGACAGCAAGACACRCAGGACATCCCAGACAGTCTCCTTTGGAGACAAGTTTTCAGAAGGACACAAAAACACCGAAATGGAACCCAAAACACCCACTCGTGGGACACGTCCTAGACGCTCAGGACAGCTAAGCTCACRCTGCGCCTGGGCTGAAGGGCGGCTGCGTTGCACCCTGCGAATACGGGGTCCAACAAACTGCTGTTCACAAGGGCCGGGCGCACGTCCCACCGCAGGCGATTTGCTTTCCAGGCAGCCTTTCCAAGCCTTCCTTTACCAGACGCCTCCTCCCGAACGCTCAGGACGTCACCAAGACTCCTCTCCGGGTGGGAGATGGGCCCCCAAACATGGATATTTTACAAGCATGGGGGGCAGTTTCACCCATCACCTCTATGCTCCCCTACTCGGCCTCCTCCTGGGTCCCTCCTGCCGCTGGAACATGGATATTTTACAAGCACGGGGGGCAGTTTGGCCCGTCACCGTTCTGCTCCCTGCTCAGCCTCCTCCTGGGCCCCTCCTGCCGCTCGAACATGGATATTTTACAAGCACTGGGGACAGTTTCACCCATCACCTCTCTGCTCCCTGCTCGGCCTCCTCCTGGGCCCCTCCTGCTGCTGGAACACGGATATTTTACAAGCACAGGGGACAGTTTCACCCATCACCTCTCTGCTCCCTGCTCGGCCTCCTCCTGGGCCCCTCCTGCCGCTGGAACATGGATATTTTACAAGCACGGGAGAAAGTTTTGCCCGTCACCTCTCTGCTCCCCAGCTCGGCCTCCTCCTGGGCTCCTCCGGCCGCTCCAGCCCCTCTGCAGGTCTCGGTTCTCCGGCACGGCCGCTCCGGGCGGCAGCTCCCTGCAATCCCGCCCGGACAGCGGCCGGAAAGAGGCGATTTCCCCACGCGAACCCTGGAACGTGGCCGCGTTCGGGGCCACGCGGGACCCGGGGGGAGCCTCCCGCTTTCCCGGGAAGGGGAACCCCCCCCCCACGAGGGGCCCGGGAGACCCCGCGGCGGCTCCGCCATCTTCCCCCCCGCGGCGCGGCCTGCGCGTACCGTGCGGGCGGCCTCTGCCCAGGTCCTGCCCTTCTTCCTGCGGCCCTTCTCCCTCATGTCGGAGGCGGCGCGGCGGGGTGCGGGCGGGGTCGCGGCGGGCCGGGAGGTGCCGGCGGACGGACGGAAGGGACGGGCGGGCGGCCCCGGCTCCGAGCGCGGCCCTAGCCCCGAGCGCGGCCCGCGCCCGCCGCCGCCGCTGCCATGTTGGGAGCCTCCCGGGAAGGGCCGCGGTCATGTGACCGCCCGCGTGACCCCGCCTCCTCCTCCGGGGGAGGCGGGGCCCGCCCGGCCGCGCCTGCGCGCTGCGCGCCGCGCCGGGTGCCAAAGGGCGCTGCCCGCCCCGCCCCCCTGCGCGTCCTCCCCCCGCCCGTCGCCGCGCGCGCAGGCGCAGTGGGGGCGGGGACAGTGACGCCCGGGGGAGGGGGGGGAGTGTGGCGGCGCCGTTAACGGTCACCGAGGCCGCCAGCCGCCATTGACCCCCCAGCTCTGACCACCAAAGGGCAACGACCCCCCAACTCTGATCCCCAATGGGCAGCAACTGCCACCATTGACCCCCCAGCTCTGCTGTCCCACAGACACCATAGACCTCCCAGCTCTGATCCCCAACGAGCAACAACTGCCACCATTTACCCCCCAGCTCCGCTGTCCCACAGACACCAGCGACCCCCCAGCTTTGATCACCAAGGGGCAACAACCACCACCATTGACTCCCCAGCTCCGCTGTCCCACAGGCACCAACAACATCCCCAGCTCTGATCACCAAGGGGCAACAACCACCACCATTGACTCCCCAGCTCCACTGTCCCACAGGCACCAACACCCCCCCCAGCTCTGATCACCAATGGGCAACAACAGCCACCCATGAGGAGCATCCAGGACTCCCCAGTGTCCCTCATGGGCCCCATCTCCCACCCCGTGTGGCCTCTATCCACGTGTTGCCACAGGGATGTCCCCAGGGATGCTGCTCGGCCTGCTCYGTGTGCCCTTCGGTGCCTCTGTCCCCAGCCCACCGTGTCCTCCACAGGGACGGTTCCCTGCCCTCCTTTCCAGCCATTGCTGCTCCCAAGCCAGCCAGACTCCGAAGTTCATCTCTGTCCTCTTTTCTGCTAAGGACAACACTCTGGTTCACAGCGAGCAGGGTCTGTTGGGCCTGGAGGAGAGGAGGGTGAGAGGGGAGCTGGTGAGCGTGTCCAAAGAGCCGAGGGGAGGATGGAGGGAGGAAGGTGCAAGCTCTGGTGGGTGGTGGCCAGGGGCAGGCCAAGGGGCAGTGGGTGCAGGTTGCAGCGCAGGCAGCTCCATGTGGCCGTGAGGAAGAACTTGTTTGGTGGGAGGGTGCCCGAGCCCTGGCCCAGGCTGCCCAGGGAGGCTGCGGAGGCTCCTGCTCTGCAGATCTGCCAGCGCGCCGGGATGCGCCCGGGTGCCCCGTGCTCTGGGTGTCCCTGCTGGAGCAGGGGCTGCGCTGGGGGATCTCCAAAACACATCGTTCACCTAAGGGAGCAGCAGCAGCTGGCAACCACATAGAATGCAGGAAAAGACAGAATAGGAATGCAAACATTTCCCCAAAGGTTTTACACAAAATGACACACAAAACGTCCCCAGCGTTTCTCATCTACAGCAAGGTTTGTGTTAGACTCCGCTCAAATGCAGCCCTCGGGACAAAAGTCAGCGTCTTGGACTAGAGTCCCGCATCCAGGTCCGTGCTGAAGGAACTCGGTGTGCGACACCCGGCCCTCTCCACGGCCTCGTTTTCCCTTTGCCGCGGGTGTCGATGGCTCTCGTCATGTCAGAGATGAGGTTCATCCTGCCTCAGTTACCGCCTAGCATTCAAATCCGTTCCTGTAACACCAGCCTCCACCGTCCCCTTTTTTAATTTTCAAACCAGCCTATTTCTGTGCCTTAAATCTTTCTCCTTGCTTCCTTAACTGCAGCCTCGGTTTTTAGCTACAACAGCATCAGTACTAAGCAAATGCCTCTTGTTTGAGATTTGCTATTGGAAAGACAGCCCAGAGCTCCTGTTCCTTACAGCGCTGCGTTTTCATACCCCAAATAATCATTTCCCAGTTTTCAGTGAACTCAAAACTAGGCCCTGCTAAGCCGAGACCTCGTGAGCTCCTCTCACATTTCTAGCTCATGCATTTGCACAATTTTGCTGTGTCTCAATCAGAGGCCGAGACTGAGGCAATCTGCGTTCTGGAGCTCGTGCAGGCAGGATGAGGCAGGAAGGCTGCTTCCCGGGGCTCCCTTGCTGCTCCCACACCACTAAGCCCAACCGCTGCCGCTGGCGCCCGCCACGCTGCCCGGCTTGCTCTTTCCAAAGCCTAAAATGAAGGATAAGCTCCCTTTACCAGGCACCCCAAAAGGGGCCCAGCAGCGCACACAAAAGCTGCTGGTTGTTGTATTTCCTCAGCCTCGCGTGCAAGTAGCTTCAGGAGCAGCCTTTGGGGCTGGACTAGGTGGTCTCTAGAGGTCCCTTCCAACCTTAACCACTCTGTGATTCTGTCATTCCGTGAAATGTGGCTCCAGGAAGACGCCAGGAAGGGTGTTAGGTGAAGCCGGCTGCACCTTTCCCTGGAGCCTGGGCAGAGGAATCGGCTCCCCGCCTGCTTGCAGCAGTCGAGACGTCCCCCCAGCTTGTCCCATGCAGCAGAAACTGCAGAAGAGGAATCGGGGTAAAAAGAGTCACGTCGCTTCCACGTGAAAGCCAAGCGCGGCAGGGCTCGGCACTGCCTATCACATATTATTATTATTATTGTTGTTATTATTATAATAATAATTATTATTATTATTAGATAATATTCGGTCCCCCAAGGTGACGTAGAAGCTGCCTTTGCGGCCACGTGCCGCGATCATCCGAAGGGCTGACTCGCCCTGAACCTGCCCTGTGCCCAGCCGAGTACCAAATCCCGCCGGATTAGGGCCTTGCCGCCCTCCAGGTGGATAGTGCTAAAGCAGCAGGTTATCCGCAGGAATAACCCGCAGCCCGCGGGAAAGGAAACAGGAGCTAGGCCTGAGGCTTCTCGATGTGCTCATCCTGAAGCACATCAGGATGCTTGTGCTGATGTGCAAGCATCCTTTTGACCTAAAAAAGGATTAAAAGGATTTAAGGTTAAAAGCAACCTTTTAACCTGAAAAGGTTAAAAATAAACGTTTTCAGGTTTATTTTTACACTTTCAAAACTCATATTTTTTGTTTTTGTCTAAAAAATCCAAGCCCGGGTTCCTACCCACTGCGATTCTCCACGATCCCGGCTTTTAGGCCCAGATTACACCCGCACATTGCAAGGCTCGCAGTCAAGCTGCGTCACGCAGAGCTGCCCGCTCCGCCGCGCGCCGGAGCCCGCGTGGGATTTAATTCAAGCAATTTCATCCCAGGCTGCCCCCGTGGCACCGGGCTGCCAATTGCAGCCTCCTGTGGGTGCCAACGCTGTGGCTGCCCGGCTGCTCTCCGAGCTCGTCCTGCTCGGAGCTAATTTCATCCCCCGGGGCTGCGCAGGGGGAGGCGGAGCGGAGTTTGTTATAAGTGGATCAATTCAGCGCCGAGGCCACAAAAGGAAGATTGACCTTATTATACCCGAAGCCAGCGCTGTGCAGCTCTCTCCCACTCCGTAAAGTCAGAAGCAAGGTTATTATGTTAGTTGGACTTTAAGCACAGATAATTCGTATTTATTAACCAGGAATTAATGTTAWGGCAGAATTATAAGGCTGCTTAAAGTCTGTTTTCGTAGTCAGATGCAAAGCAGGCAGCGAGCTGGTTTCAGGCCGGTGCTCGCGGCCGGGGAGCTGAACGTGCAGGTGTCTTTGGGGGGCAGCCCCTTTGGGGGGCAGCACTGTGGGGCCCCCCTTTGAAATCCCAGGATGGCTGAGGTTGGAAGGGACCCCCGGGGACCCCCAGTGCAGCCCCTGCTCCAGCAGGGACACCCAGAGCACGGGGCACCCGGGCACATCCCGGTGAATCCGCACGGGATCCTCCGCTCTCCTCCAGCCCAGCCGCCTGCRTGACAGCAGCTGCAGCGCTCGGAATTCTGCCCTGTTCCTATCCCTGCCTTCCCGCACGGCCGCTAACGGAGAGCTGGGTTCTTATCCCTGTCCCGAGCGCGGGTTTTGGGCACCATCTCCACGCTGCTCGGGAGCACGAGGGAGGTGAGCGCGGCACGGCGAGGCCCTCCCTGTGCCGCGAAGGGCGACGTTCACCGCTYGGCACAAAATCCTCCTTCCCGCAGCCGGCCGAGCTTTGTGCTGCGGGGCTGGGCRGTTCCGATACTTAACATTTTGCTTGCCAAATTTTGTACCTCACCCTGAGTTAACATCATTTTGGGAGCAAAATTCACTGCACGGATTTTAATTTTGCTGACAGTGCATTTGACTAAAGTATGGTAGGACTCACCTCACCTAACTTTAAACAATATAAATATTTTAATTATCAACTGAAATATCACTCTGCTTTTCCTCTAGCCGAAAGACCTGGGCACCCTGGTGCCGTGGCTCCCTTTAGATATCCTGATAGAGTGAATGAGATGGATTACGGCTTGGAAATGACCGTTCCTCTGCATTGACGGTAACCAGGAATTCATCTCAACTTAGCTCTTCGTTAGCTCCTTGCAGTGCTTTTGCTGTCCAGCCCAAAGAGGAAGGCTCCTGTTTTCTCCTGTGCTCCTAACTTTGTGTTTACTTCAAGGATCTGCCCTCTCACCACACAAAATTCCTTGCCACTGGAGTCCCATTTGAGGAAGGCTCTCCCCAGGGCCAGCCAAGCCCTTGGCTATCAGCTCTCTTCGCCTTGCAGTACAGATGGACTTTGTGGTGCCTCCTGCCCTGACAAGCTCAAGGGGCTGATCCACATCCCTAGGACCGATCCGTCTCCATCCTGGAGCTCCATCCAGCCTCACCGCCCCCGATACCGCGATGCAGCTGGTGGAAGGGGGTCCAAGGCYCCACAGCTGAGGTCTCCACCACTCGTGCGCCTTGGTGCTGCCTTGGGCCGGCTCTGCCTCCGCTCGCAGGGTGATGGGAAGCAGCGAGCTGCGGGAAAGGGAGCAGCAGAGCCACCGGGCAGGAAAC